GGGGGGGGAGTCAGGGGGGGGGGGAGTCAAGGGGGGAGGGGGGGAGTCAAGGGGGGAGGGGGTGGGGGGGAGTCAGGGGGGGGGAGTCAAGGGGCCACGTTTCCAATGGGCTCAACATATAAACGGTTTATAACAATAGTGATGATTGCCTTTATCGATACTATCTTCAACAGGTAATGAGTATTCCGGATTCTGCTCACCGACAGTGCATATTCGTAAACACGATATCAGAACAACCACGATCGTCGCTTCCTCATCCAGGCAACTGTCGTCTGAACCTCAATCCTCTTTTGCAACAGGGCGCTGCTAGGGCGCCTTTGGCCAATTCCCCTTACATTTGAGGACAGACATTTCTTTATATTTTGGCTTCATCTGAAGGCCTGCACATTACAGCGCACTACCGTGAAATATCCACTAAGCGTAATATTAAGAGCCCTATTAGGCAGCACACTGAGTGGCAAACGGTTTATTCCCTGCGACAGAATTATTATGATGATGATGGTGGTGGTGGTGACGATTACGGGGAGGGAGGCTCCGTCATGTTGCAAGGGCGCTGTCAGCGCGCGCGTTGCTCCCGTGCCAAGCAGATGCCTCGGCTCGGCTCTCCCTCCCCCCCCAGCAGCACCCCCCGTGCACCCCGGGGGGGTGGCGAGGCGCCACGCGGCCCAAAGAGCCCTCCGGTGCAAAGGGGCCGTCCATAAATGACGTCACGCGATTTTGGACAATTTTTTACCCGATTTTTGACCCCCTCCCTATCGTCACACGGCGTCACAAAAAGTCAGACCCCCCCTCAAATATGACGTCACAAAGCTCTGACCCCCTCCCCCTCAAAAAAATAAAACATGCTTCAAATCGCTTTAAACTATTGTCATTGTAGTGCGTATTTAATTGTAGGAGGAAACATTTATTAAAACGTATATTTAATTAAGTAGAACGTGTTGTCTATATTTATTTAAAGTTGCGCATTTTGATGTGACGTCACATTCCTCACCCCCCCGACCTCCCCCCCCCTAGGTGCGTGACGTCATTTATGGACGGCCCCTAAGAGCTCGCGACGTCGCCTCTCATTCGCGACGTTCACGAGCCAATTACATTTGCACAGCACGAGTTAATGGACAGTTCGAATTATATCTGTTGATTATGAGTTGTGTTATTTATTCGAATGTGTTCCTGCGAACGCTGCTCAGTTCGTAGCAAAGCAGCCCTTCCTAGTTGGACATTTGCAAGTTACAATCCTGCCCAGCGTCACTTTCACATCGTCGTTAAACTGAGTATTATAAAGGTGCAGTGCTGCAATTTCTTGCTCATGCCACTGCTGGCTGAGGGAGGCTATAGAAAGCCCCTCGAGAGGGTGTTTGGCCTCCTCTTCTTCCACGCTGGTCAGACGTCTTTGCAAGAGGCGGGAGAGTATCCACACTTTACCCCACCGCGTGCAAGCTGCCAATCGACGACCTGTGGTGATGCACCCATGGCCACTGTTGGTGTGCACAGAGTTGGGCGAGATTTTAGAAACTTGCCCAACTGCCACGCCGGCAGATCGAGCCGATGACCTCTGGATTTCAGGTCCAATGTGCCGTTACCCATTTGACCGTGGCAATATTTGTAACGTGCCTTTAGATGAGATCGTTTAGAATATTTGGCTCAGAGGTCGCAACCGGGTACCCGATACCCGTACCCTACCCGATACCCGGCTGGGTACGGGTACGGGTACCCGTTTGCGACCCTGGTACGGCCGGGTACGGGTACGGGTAGGCCGTGAGTCACTGGTGAGTCACCGTTTGTCACTCATTTCAGGTGGGGTACGGGTACGGGTAGGGAACCCGTACCTGGCCGGATACGGGTACGGGTACCCGTTTGCGACCCTGGTGCAGCTGGGTACGGGTAGGGAATCAAAACCCGTTTGCGACCTCTGATTTGGCTGCTGTACATTTTCGCATGATAAGCCACTTCGTTGAGCTATCGTTTGTGGCCAGGTCGCTTCTGAAAAATAAGCGAATAGCGCGGTGGGACTTACCTGGTAAAATAAAAAAAAATAGTTTAGTTTTATTTGTACATTTTTTAAAAAGTGATTTGCTCGCCTTTCCTATACTTTGCACTCCTATCGTGTTTTTGTTTTGTTGTTGTAACGTCCTGACCCTGTGCCCCTACTGGGCAACTGTGACAAAGAACTTTATAGCTTATCGGATTCACCCAGTAAAAATAATTATTCAGATTCTGATCTCCACTCTGGCTTCAGACCACAAATGGAGGCAAACATTGCCCCACGCTCATTTGAGTGCGGAGACACTTTGACTGATTACATCTAGATACAATACAATAACCTTTTAATCAATCTATGTAAGAACCCACTGACATTACCTATCAGCACTGTATATGTACGTTATATTACACTGTATATGTACATACATTATATTACAATGTATATGTACATACATAATATTACACTTTATTTGTAACTAGTTCATTAAGCCTGTGTTCGCTAGGCAAACGTTTTAAATAAATATAATATTTAACTTGATATGATTTTTTACAATTTTTATCTACGACATAAAAATTTAGAATTTTCTGCAAAGAAAAAAAATTGTTGAAGACTTGATTCAACTTGTTATATTTAAAGGCGTGCCCATCATAAACCGCTCGATTTAAACATTAAGTTATCAGTTATTAGAAAGAACAAAAAATAAAGAACTTAATATTCTATGAAGAGAAGCTCTTATCTTTGATCGTTTTCTAATTATTCAGATTTGAACACCATAAAATGCGTATTTTTTCGTTCAAAACCGCTTAAATCCGAAATATCTCAAAAACAATAAAGGATAAAACAACGGCTCTCGCTTTAATTGTATTTGCCGTTTAACGCTCTGTCAAAGGAAACAAAATGCAATTTGACATTTTGAACGGTTTATGAATGACACGCATAAATATGTTCATGGGCACTTTCAATCGATATTTGGGGGGCTTAAAATGAAAAATGACGGATTTTCAGATTTGTCCTGATGTTTGTGTCATTAAAGCTACCTATGTACCAAACTGCAGCTTTCTATCTTGTCAGTAAGTGCCTTAAGAGATTTTTTGAGACATACAGATTAAGGCTTTTATATAGATTGTGTGGGGTTCCTTTTCAAATCGGGATTTTGGCAGTCGCAGGCACACATCTATTTACTTTTAATTAGCAGTGGCATTACATAACAGTTGCGTAGTGAAAATAAAAGATACCAGTAATAACGATAGTGCTGTGAAGCTCATTAAGTTAGAATGAGCTCTGGGCCTTTAAACATGTACATTGTGGCCATCTGCTTGCATCTGTGTGGGCTGCTGGAACATCTCGGTACTAAAGCTGTCCGGTCGAGTGAGACAAACAAAGACCTCACAATAACAACAACAACAACAACCCCGTTGCAAAATGGTAAAATGACAACAACCGAACGAACCATCTATTTGCGGCCGCATTTCACAACCGAACATCCCTTGGGCTAATGCAGCAAAACCAACGATGAAAAGGGATATGCAGTGAATTACGAAAGACACTTGAAGATTCAAATCCAATGCACGCGTGAATAATTAATGCGTTATAAAACAATGGTCAGGAGCTCCATCGTTTTAATTGTGCTTCATATTTATCGCTCGTTCCCACAATTTGCTCTAAATAAAGTTGAGTGTGTGAATTTAAATGAACGTCTTAAAACACGCTCCTATTTAATTACTCATCAAACTATAAATTACACGAAAGATAAAATCCTCAGTTTTAACCGTCACTAATAGTCGGTTATTTTAGGCCATTATAATGGCAATTCTGTGCAAGAATGTGCGTATTCGTTTAACGTTAAATGATCGCTGTAAGATTTCTTGGTGAAAAAAAAGTTCAATCGTGCGCGTGTTACGCAAATGTGTAAATGTGATGACTAAGTTAATGTTCACACCTGCAATGGGACAATGTGGAACATTTTAAGCACTGTAAGTTTAATAGGTACGCAATTAAATCGAGGTTACCAAAAGGATATCCTCCAATTCTTAAATACCAAACGTGGTCTGTGACAACGGCGAAACGCAAAAAGTGAAACGTCCCTGACGCGTCTCTGCTGCCCCCCCTGCGCCCAGAGATGGCGTGGGGAGGCAAGCGCCGCTGGAGGTGAACATCGCCACCAGCATCGACGTGCATGTGAAGCAGCAGAGCAGAAGTGTACGCATGTGTGTTGAACTTCTTTCGCACCGTACGTAGCCAACCGTGATGATCGGAGGTTGCGGGGGAAGGACAACAAACTCGACACCAAGATCAGTTTTAAAGAAATTAGTTTCCAATCTTGATTTAAAACGACGTAGCTCCAGTGGATTCCGGATATGAAAGCGAGCGATGCAGTGGCCGTCTTTGTTCGATCAAATATAAAGAGGGTCACACATATAACGGAACAGGCATGAGGTTGTGGGACAGAGTGTGAGTGTTTGATTTGCAGTGGCAGCGCTTAGACAAAAAAGCAAAGCAAAGCAAGAGGTTTGGATCCCAGGCAACTCAAGAGACCCAGGAATTTAATATAACAATCACAATTAGATCTCCATCATCACTATCGCGTCTCCATCTCTCTCTCTTCTCTCATCTAACTTTGTGTACATCTCTTATCTCGCCACTGCTATTTATCTCCCTTCCCCATCTCGTGTCACTTCACGATGAGTTTATAAATTAAAAGCCCCCCCCTCCCTCCGCAACCCCACCCCCTTCTGCTTAAGAGTCCTCAATAGACCAGCACCACCACTGCTGATCGCTCGTCCCCCCACTCCCGCCTAACACTCTGCAAACCCCCCCCCTACTCCTCCTCCCTAATTGCAAAACGTGACCCGTTCCCGTCTTTGCTGGCACTCTTCCCTGTTTGTTCTACCGGTTCCGTGGACACGTGGTGAGTGCAGGAGCCGGGGCCACGCGGGGGCCACGCGGGGGGCGAGGGGAGCGTGGGGGGGGGGTGACCGCGCGTCTCTAACCGGCGGCGGTGGGGTGGTTCTCAACGCACCTGTGTGCAGGCGCATGGCTCATAGGAGCCCAAGGTCCCCGTGGTTGGGGAGACTCCACCTCTGTCCAATTGAGACTACGGGGAGAGAGAACAAAAGCTGTGCCACCACGCATGCCTTTCGCTTCACACGCGCACACACACAGGGACACGCGTGGGGGGGGGGGGCGAGGAAACACAAGGGGGCTTGAAGGGGGAGGTCGGGGATCCACGGTGAGAACACTTCGCTCTCGCTGACACTCACCCCGCGGCTGACCGTGAAGTGACAGGCGGCCGCGAGCGTGCACGCACACGAAGGTGACCCCCTCGCCCTGGGTTCAGCCGTAGATGCTGACTGTGCGAAGCGCCGTCATGAGTGAGCACCTCTGAAGACCAATGGCCAGGACCACGCACGTGCGAGCCACCGTTTGTCTCTCCTTTGCCAATGTTGACCACATCACTGTTGACCACATCACTGCACCAGGCGCTCGCGTTTTGGAAGTCGAACCCAGGGTGGCCCAATGCAGGTTCGGACGTCGACTGTCACTGTGATTGAGTGCGGCCAGGGAGTTGAACCGCAGTTTGCTGGCTTTGTAGTGTGGTATGCAAACCGCTGCATCATACCAATGACAAAAACATCCCCCTCCTACTCTATCGCCTTGTACAGACTCGTGGGGCAAGTGCTGCTGGCGAATCCCTGTTTAGTGCGGCCAACGTCATTCCTGGCCGGGTCATTGTCTCCCGCAGTATCGGTGTTTACGCACCGCACTGGGCGCTCATTTAAATGTAATTTGACGTAGGGGAGGCTCGGGACCGCTTCAGATATTCGCCGCTGATGTTGGACCCGGCCAGGAACGGGAACTCGGGTAGACCTAGTCCATAAGCGTCAGGGCGCTAACCACCGCGCCGCCGCTCCCCGCTAAATTGTTAATGCACGCTGACACCGCTGCAATGACCACTGTGGAGGCCACATTTTTTTGTAATTTCACGATTAAATCACACACGTGGACGTATGAGAGAGGCTCCGCGCTGCGTGCGTACGAGACAGGGAGATTGAGTGCGTGTGTGTGCGAGAGGGCCTGCGTGCTTATCGCACGTGTGCACAAAACCCAATGAATTAGCTAAATCAGACATAATTGAATAACCAATGGAATAATTCCTTCTGCATCGCTTAATTTTGTTGAGTTAAACATATGGGAAAAGCACTTTACGAATGTTCCGCATTCTTATTATTATTGAGCAGCAATTCAAATGTCCCAAAGGGACAGTTTTGAAATGGTGCTCTTTAAAGCCAAATACGTATTGAGGGAAAAAAAAAACAATAAAAAAACATTTCAATCTCATGCTTGCGTGACTGCAGCCTGACCGCGGTTCCTTTCTCTCCTAAAATTAGTTGTCATTCGCGTAAGGGGCTTACGCACGGAGCGCAACGTGCGTTCCCTCTCAAAGACGCCAACGCAGCACCTGTTCAGGACAGCCACCGCTGCTGCTCGGCACAGCGGCAGTGCCAACGTTGCGCCGCGGACTCTGGCATCAACACCGCAGCGCCGCGTTACACGTGGCACTTGCCGAGGCCGTTTCGGTGCGATGCCAAGTTTCCACATCTCGTGAAGGGGCAAACCCCAATTTACGGTCAAACTAATTCCATAACCGCGGAGTGCAGACCTCTGTGAACTGCGATTGGCCTCCATCTGCCCTCCCCCTCCACCTTCGCTCGCGTAATTACAGCGTAGTGACTGGTGTCTTACTGCGTAGGGTCAGCGTCTAATTAGCCGCTCAGCAATGTCTTAATTTCCCTGCCGTTTGAGGTAGGGTAGCTGGGGCCCTGCCTCTGACATCGGCGTGGGTGACGCCACGGCTGAGCTGGGGACAGTCGTTAGCTGAGTAACGCGCCACTCACTCTGGTGGTGGAGAGGAATCGTAATGCTTCCCCTGGTCCCAGCTCCCACTCATTGTATTATCGATTTGAGGAGGTATCTGTGTCTTGGCGAGATGTTAACTACATTGTCTGGTACACAGGAAGTCATGGGTTCGATCCCGACCCTGACGCCTGCATATTTGTAGTTTGCGCGCTCTCCCCCGTGGTGGCTTAGATTTTTCTCTGGGTTCTCCGGTTTTTCCCTCCATATTCAGAAACATGCATTTAGAATATTTGGCTGCTATAAATCTGGACATCTGTAAAAGGAGCTTTATAGCTCATCGGATTCCTCCAGTATAAATAAAGATTCTGATAAATGTCCACGTGATAAGCCACTTACTTCAATGGCCTATCATTTGTGACCAGGTGGCTTTTGAAAAATATGTATACAGCTCAGTGGGCCTTACCTGATAAAATAAAAATAGTTTAGTTTTAGTTTAGTTTTGCTACACACTGTGCCAATTGCCCACACTTTCCAACCCTTCCATTCGTAGTTAACATACTCATACGCTAATGCGGCGTTGGGAACACGTTGTAAAAGCGTTCAGCGCTGTAAAATTTGATCGGGGCAGAGCAGGTCAGCGAGCACTTTACGGACTCTCAAGAGGCGCCCAGTTAGTCCCAGAAGAAACTTCGTTTCACTCAGAAATACTGCGGAATGTATCTTACAATGCGATGCAGCCCATTTGACCTTCATGACCCTAACTTGGCCGTTTTAACGTCTTCCACACTTGAGTGCAATGCTACATAAGTCAATGCAGCAACTCCACTTGGCAGATTCTCTCTCATAACTCAGAACCCTTCCTCTCACGTTGAACTAATTGTTTTGGTGATGTTGCTGGAGATGCTGCTGCTGCTGCACTAGCAAAATCAACAAGATAACTCAACAACGCAGTCGTCAATAGCACCGTGTGGCCTTAACAGAAAACATATATAACGGGAGACACGTTGGTCAATGGGCATTCTTCATTTATGTGCCATGGAGAAGGGTCATAGCCAAAACGTCGTCTGTTTTATATTTTTCCTGTTAAGGCCACAGTGTTACGGACGAATGTATTGAATTGTTTTGTTAATCCCACTGTACACAATATCACTTCTGAATTGCACTCAGAAGATATTTAAGTCTTCGTCCAGTTTTCCTTTTCAGTTGTGCAGCATGATTGTGTTTTTTTTATTGGCATGTAATGGCTACATGAAGAAAATACATTAATGGAAAAATCTCTTGAGGCCAGACTCAAGTAAGGCAGAATTCACATTAAGCGAGAAAAACCACAAGATATAAATATAAATAAACCCAAAACTCACTGACTGGAACCCCGTATTGTAAGCGGAGGTTCGGGCCGTTAACAGTAAGATCGACAGTTCACCAGCATTGATTCAAGGAAGACTGACTGCTGATGAGACACTGTGTGTCAAAACCGGTCGAGAGTTTGCTTGTCTTGAAACAAGGCTGCTGAAATCACGCATGTCTCAGAAGGCCGAGCGGCCGAAGGGTTGTGTGAGAAATTATTTAAAAAAATTACGCGGAGAGACGGATATGTGAAGGGCACGTACTCTCGCGTATTCATTTTTACCGGAGCACGTTTCGTGCGCGTGGCAATGTTTTATTCCCATAACGTGTGTGGAGATTAAGATGTACTCGTCAACGCAAGGAAACGTAAAGCTCATATTCCCTAGCATTGTTTTTCATACGATGGACGCGTGCTTGGAAACTATCAATTATAAAGACGCACGCTTATCTGGTGTTTTGGAATTTGGCGAATCTCTGATCTTGCACACCTGGGGTTACCGCATGCCAAGTGTCCTTTGTTGTTTTCACCGTTTTACAATCCAAGTAAATCCAAACCCAGTGAACCTCACACTTCCACGGCTGCTTCACGTTGATGGTGAGTGGCTCAGATACATTGCACCATAGTGATGCTTTCGGTGATAATAAATTGTAACACAACGCACAGTGCAATGTTGTACAATACAACGCACAGTGCAATGTTATACAATACAACGCACAGTGCAATGTAACATGATAGAATGCACAGTATATGTACAATGCAAGGTGTTGGAATGGTAATACAATACGGTGCAATGTGATACAAGAGAATGCAAAAGCCGTGTAAAATGTAAGGCAGTGTTACACAACACGACCAGTGCAATGTAATACAGTACAACACATGATTTACAATAGATTTTTGGGTCAGATCGTGTTGTGTTGTACACCCTCCTCCACTTGACAATGAATTAAGTTGTTGCTGGAGAGAAATCCGCCCACATTGAACAGTTGGGTCCAAGACGTTTCGCTGGTGGTTACAGGCAACATCATCAGGCAGCTGTTCCGAATTGTGATAACGTCCGCCAGTCGTGGGCTTTAAGAAGGTGGTTGTGCGATGTCATCAACGTGCAGCCACGAGGGAGTCAGGGAGTTGATAACTCGCGGTTAATGCACTCTAACAAATGACAATGCGATGGTCGATTACAATAAATCCTGTTACATAGCTTGGCATAAATACTGGCGTTTGGATGTCTAAAAACACCAAACAGACACCAATTAGGAGGCATCGTGTCTGCGTAAACACGCTTGCTCGTGGGAAAAAAAACCCCGCCAACAAATATGCTTAGATAATGTACGCAGTCCTGGAAACGGATTACAAACCTGTCAACCCGTTATCAGTGCCTACATTATTACAGACCAATTCAGACCTTAGTGGTCACCCCGTGCCCTTCAAAATTTAAACGTTAATCCTACAAAGTCCCATCACAAGGGAGAAACACAAACAAATAGACACATTTTTTCGTTCCGTATTGAAACGGCTGTACACCGTATGGACCTGAAACTCAATTTCCCTGCACAAGAATACGGGCTAAACCGTGTGGGTTGGCAGCGATGGGGTTGGCCTGCACCAGAGGCAGCCTCTGGTGCAGGCCTCGTCTGACCAGCGCCGGACCAAGGGTCGCTAAAAGGCGAGCAGCACCAGGACGATGCAAACGGCGAAGCGGGCACACGTGCGAAACCGCGTTCAGACGCGCGAGGAGCGCGACGGCGTGCGTGTTCAACGCGGGGCTCACAGCGCGTGCGGGGGCGAGTGGCCGGCGCTGCTGCCGCTGCCGTTGCTGCTGGCGTGCTCCAGGAGTCCGTTGAGCTCCTCGTGGCTCGCCATGAGCGCCGCCGCCGTCACCGGGTTCCCCAGCCCGCCCAGCAGGGGCAGGTTCGTCTCCGCCAGCGCCGCCTGCGCACAGCGCGGACAACGACGACGGCGCACCGCCACGGGCGCCACCGACCCCCAAATACGATGGAGTCTTGTACACTCGCGAGGGGAGGGGGGGGGCGAGCTGTGACGCGACGCTCGATGACACCGACGCCGTCAATTTTCCGTGGCTGGGAATCAAACTTAGGTGTTTTTAGGTGCGGTGGTTGCAGCGCGCCAGCGGACTGCCACTGCCCCCCCCCCCTTTCTTTTAAGCGTAACCCTCTAATCTTGCCTCGGCTGTTTAGTTAAGGCGCATGCCTCACTCTCAGATCACTTTCATTTAGGAGCTCACAATGTAACTGCTTTTCATGCACAAAGACAAAGATCACCCGGAAAGCCTTTAACAGGCTGTTAGGGCAAGTGCAGTTAGCGAGTAGCGCATGGCAACTGAAGAGGGGTGGTGTGGCCAGAAGCATGCCAATGTGTGCTGAATATATTTTTGTTATTTCACCAGGTAAGGCCCACTGAGCTATGTAGCTCTTTCAGAAGCGACCTGGCCACAAATGAGAGCTCAACAAAGTGGAATATCACATGTAAATGTAGAGCGGCCAAACACTCTAGAGGCATGGACCTGGATAAATCCACACTTCCACGGGGAGAGAGACACGCAAAGTCCAAACATACAGCAGCAGGCATCAGGGTTGGTATAGAACCCACCGCGTCCTGCATACGAGGCGAGGTAGTTAACATCTCGCCACCGTGGCACCTGAGAAAGCCAATCAAATCAAGGAATCACGTCATGGGCAGATGGGCCGAATGATTCGGTTTACAGTATCAGCAAAACAAGAGGAGTGTTGAAAAACAAAGAGACATTTTGACATTGTTTAAAAATACGTTTTGCTCGGGAGACAAAAGCCTGCCATAAGGTGCCAAAGGTAAAGGTGCAGCTCTGTACCTAATTGATCATGCCACCACTGGCAGACAGGCCTCCAATACAGGGTGATTTGGCCTACTCTTCCATGTTGGTAGAATGTCTGACAAAAGGTAAGAGTACCCACACATAAAGATTTTGATTCTGATTACTGCTGCGAGGACAGAGGCGTTGATGGGTATTTATTAATCCTTTACCGGCTGCGGCAGGGGGTCAAACCGGGGACCTCTGGATTGCAAGGCCAGTGTGCTACCCATTCCACCATCCCTATCCTCTGCGATACGAATGTGGAATTTCTACCGCGTGCCTGGGCTGCCAATGGAAATGCGTACTGCCCCGAGCCCAATGAAGCACAAGACACTTGTACACGATAATTATCGTTGCCAGGACTGAGATACTGGCATGATGCATGCCACAATCAGCAGCAATCCCGTTACTTTGGGTATTGGACGCGGTACCTGCAGGTATCACCGTGCCCTACTTCGCAGCCCTCCCAACGCACTTGTTTGTTTGAGTCGCTGCTAATTGGGACGACTTGGTTGGTTCAAGAGGGCAACCAGGACCATCAAGGATTTGGGAAAGCCACGCCGCTCAGTTTCACGCGATCATCGTGCTTCCACGGGCGGGGAAGGCTTCGGGCCACGCTCCGAACCCAAGGGGCCCAAGCAGTCTTCCACGACGCCTCCTTGCATTAGGGCAGGCGAAACGACAGACTGTCCCTTCTAGCCAAAGCGTGAATTATTAAGGGGCACGCGTTTGCTCTCCGCGAGTTTACCCGTGGCACCGGGGAGGTACGCTGCACGCCGCTTATTCAGACGGATGGATTTATTTTGTACCTTTTGTTTTATTGTCGTAAATGTATTCTTTATTTTGAGTTTAACCGCTACTGTCGCTGTCGTGAGACGAACGACGGAGGCCCTTCTGGAATTCCCGCGGCTGTCAGAGCCCCGCGTCATGGCCAGGGAATGGGCCCGGGAGAGCAGGGTCGATTTAGTTGACGAAATTAGTGAAGATCATTATTCGTCAACAATGACCGTGGGTGGGTGGACGGATATCGTCAAGCGGCTAAATTAACGCTGCCTGCACGATGACAGCACCTTAACACGCCTCTCCCGCCAAATGCTAGATGGTGCTCATTCATACCCTGTCAGTAATTTCTAATATTATAAATTATTAGAGCGCGATGTCAAATGTTGTCGATGAATATCGATTCTTACGTTAACGATAAACACACCAATGTGCATGCGTGCAAGACTACATGCTTTGTTATTCGTGTTTAAGCTCAAAAGACCACTCCAGAGGCTGCTAAATGCAGCAAAAAATATATTTTAAAAATATTCTTGCATTTAATTCTGTGCCTAAATCATAATTTATTGCATCATGGGTGCAGTTAATCTCTGCAGCCTTAGCAGCAATTAAAAACTGACCTCAGACCATTCCATTAGGAGCCAATGGCCACCAACATGCATACCTGTCCATCGTTCTCTAGCCAGTGCTTTAATTGGCACTCTGAACGGGGTGATCACTTTAGGCTAAGTCAACCCAAGGGAGATGTTTCGTCCGTGTTCTAATACCAGTTGCGACTGGTGCCAACTCTGAGGGTCAACAGAAAACAATAACCCGGGACATATCCTGGGAAGACTAATATGTCACGATGTCAGAAGATGGGAGGCATGCATATAAATACATTGTCTTGAGTGGCGCATCGTGAAACAACTAAAACTGGAATGTTGCGGGAAGACTTACAGATTTCCCAGGACAGATGCCTCAACAACAGAACGATTACGGCAACACCAGAACACCTTTCATCCAGCACACCGGTGGCAAGGGTTGGTGGGTCACACACATTCTTGAAACTCCATACCCGTGGGTGTCGAGGTTGCCAACTCCTGGATTGCCAGGCTACGATAGCAGTACAGCAAGTGGGTAAATCTACATCTGTACAGGGATGGGGTGTTGACCCGCTCACACGCGTGGGTTCTCTCTGGGTTCTCCGCTTTACCCGCATGTGTATACACTCACTCAGGAGTGGAGTTGGTCAAACATCCCAACATAGGAGGACCACAGAACGTTGGACATGTGGTTGCACGGGTTCTGGATGCCTTTCCCCCGCTCGCCTTGGCTTTCCCGTCCCTCTGTGCAAAAATTACGTAATTTGCATGAACGACGCTATACAAAACTAACTATTGTAATTCAATAAAATATGATTATTGTTATGATCACTGTGTACTGAACCGGGTTCTCCAGGACCGTTACCGCCACTACACCGCTATCGTCTGAGTAATCTTCAACCGTGGTGAAACGTGAAAATAAAGCGATACCATTATCTCGTGCGGCGTGCTAAACAACAGGGGTGGAATTTTTGATAGCGCGTGTTTTTTAGACATTCTGGTGGTCCGGTGTGAATAGTTTCCTCACCAGCACCGTAATCCGCTGTGACGCAACAGCAGCCGCTGCCGATAATCGCAATTATGGAAACATTTTCCACTCCGCGCAGCCTATGAATATTCACATCACGCTGAGCACTTGTCATGCCCCTGCAATTATGTATTTACGCAACGCTGATTAAACGATCGTCGCTCGAGATCATGCCTGAAAAGAAACACCCATTGCGAAGTCGACAGTGACGTTGGCATGACTTTGAGTTTAAAATTTCAATTTTTTTACTTATTTCTCATGAGAATAAACATCCGTCACGATGTGAATCGAGCCAAAGGGACATTCAGGAAAGCGTTTGGGGCTTACTCTGGTTGAAGCAAGCCCTGAACCGGCTGATGAGACACTGGATGTGGCACGAAGAGTGTTGTGTGTATTAAACCAATGCTGCTGGAAAACATCATTCCCAGAAGGCCGTCCGGCCAATGGGATGTGCAATTTATTTTATATTTTTTATGTGAAGAGACTAATTTGGAAAGGAGGTGTATTGTCTATGAAGCGGTGGTGGCTATGCATGCGGCCTGCAGTCCAACACTGTGGAGGCAGCCAAGGTTGGTGGATCACCGCACATGTTTTGAAACTCCCTTCCCGTGGCCGTTGTGGTGGTGGTGGTATATTCTAAGTTTTGCCAGGTGAATGCAGGACAGCAACAAATGTCGATTCCACCTGTCCCATCTGTGTGGAATACAGTATTGCCCCCTCTCGAATGGGATTCGAACTCGTGACCTCGTGACCGTGAGTCAAGTGCTTCCCGACACACAGCTGCACTCAGCCAGATCGACGCGACTGCAGGGTGTGACATCCATCGGAAAAATGTAAGTGTTGTTGTTGTTGTTCGGGAAAAATGTAAGTGTTGTTGTTGTTTGGGAAAAATGTAAGGAAGCAGAAAGAGAGGAGAATGGCTTGGTGACGACATCGCGAGATTGGTGGCAGCAAGGTGTGCACCAAGTGAGGATGTTGGTACGAGAGACAGAGGTAAGTGGAAACAAATTACAAAATGTGCAGTGAACACCGATACAAACTATTAAAAACTATTTTATATTTGACCAGGCCCACCCAGCCATATAGTTCTTTTTCAGAAGCGACCTGGCCACAAATTATAGCTCAACTAAGTGGCTTATCACGTGGAAATGTATTGCAGTCAAATACTCTGAACGCGTGATGTTGATTCTAAATGTGGAGGGGAAAATCGTTGGACCCGGAAACGGTGAGAAAGACACGCAAACTCCAAATATACAGGTGTCAGGGCTGGGATCGACTCCATGTATACCAGGCAAGGTGCCACCGTGGCTGCCGCGGTGGCGAGATTTACGAGCTATCTGTTCATGGACTGCGATGATAATGCTGATGCCCTTGAAAGGTCAGCGTGACCTCAACAGCGATCGAGCCGGACATCGATCCGAGGGCCCGGGAGGACCGTGACCAATTGGCGCCGATCGGCCCAGGAGCGAGTCCGGGAGAAGTCCACGCGGCGGGTCCCGCGGCCAACAGAGCGCGACCTTTGAAGTGAAATGCCCCAGGTGGCTGAGCAAACACAAAGATACATCTTAACGCCACTGGCACATTTACCGACATGTTTACTTAGTTTGTTAGTGATTGTGTGTCTTTCTTGTATGGATATTGATTTATTTTCAACAAACAAGCGGCAACCCGTGTCCAGAACAGCCGAACG